GGCTGATTAGCGTGACAAAAGAAGCTCAGGGACCATTTCAAGCAACAGGTGTATTTATCCGCACGTTTGCGTGAACGGCCCCCATAGGAATGTATGGGCTTTTATTTGCATCCATTTCAGTGTGGAAAAATCCACGTTTGTCGAAACCGCTCTAGTGTGAACGGGGTCTAAGAGCTATTAGTAACTTTTAGCCGATTTAAAAATGTTATGGTTGGACAACTTCTTAGACCCTCTGGATCTTGTCATGCTTGTAACATTGTAGATTCCTGGGAATAAACCTTTTTGCATTAGAGGTCCTGGCTGTTGAATGCGGCTTTCCATACATTGGATTACTGGAGAACTTCTTGGTTGCTACAACAAGGCAATATTTTCTGCGTTGCCAGAAATACCCAGATGAATTCCCAGATGAAATTAGGCTTTGTACTAGAACCAACAATCCACATTATTTTTGGATCAACGATTATCTACAAGCTAGCGGGGATTTGACATGGCATTGGGCAAAACCTAAAGTATCTCTATACCCAGCCACTAAAATCTCATATACGTGGTTACATTTTAATGGAATTTTCAGACAAAATATTCAAAGATTATTAAATCTGGTGATGCTCCAATGAAGGTCCTTGTGCAGGAACCACAAGCAGGCCTGCCAAGGTACATTGCAAAGACATGGTCCACTACTGTTATCACCAGGAAAATCCACCCTAAGAAATAATGTGCAGCCATTGCTAAAGTACATACACGTGGAAGGGAAGCACAAAATAAAAATAAGTAAAATATATATATATATTTTTTTTAAATGGAACTTGTCATGGCATCCCACTGTGGATATGTTTTTGTTTTTTTTAATGATCATTTTACCACAATGTGGCTATGGCTAAAGCTTTTGATTCCATCTTTTGACAGCTAACACATCAGTTGTGGATTAGAACATAAGTAAACAAGTGACAAGTTCTGCCAGTGCATCCTCCTTTTACATTAAATACACACATATTGTTATGTGCCTCTACCTGCCTTGTGAATTTTAACCATCTTCCCAATCATTAAAGCCTTCCTGAATATGCCTATAGTGCCTGGACAACAGCTACACTGACTATTATTTGTCCTTTCTACTAGTCATGCAGGCGTGTAAAACTCTAATTGACTTGAATGAGTTTATTGTAAGGATTAGAATACGGTCAAATGTTCATTGAGATAGAAAGTGACATGGCATGTCTGTACACTGGCGGCACAGGGCACAATGACAAAGAAGGCTTGTAAATAAAAATACTGGCCTGCAGGAAAGAGTGTGACTTGTGTTAGTGTGCTCAGGACAACAGATATGTGTATAACCATACTCACTCATATTATTCTCTGAATACCAGAAGTAACATGCTGACAGGACTTCTGTGACTTACCTGGGTAAACTGCAATGCTGGGACAATACAGTATCAGAAGCATAGGTAATATACACAACAGCTGAACTCTAAGCAGACATAAAAGACACACATCTGTAATCATTACTACATCATTCAATGTATTTTTAAATGCAAGCAGTGCTGGTGTAGGAAAGGAAGAAACAGCCAATCAGCTAATGTGCTAACAAGAAGCATGTCAATAGTATGAGAAAGCAGAGTGACAGAAAGATAAGCTCAGCACTGTGCTGCTTCTCCTTTCACTTTCCAGTCACAGGTTTGGGTGGGTGCAAGAAGACCTGGGCTCAGACCAAGTGTGTTGGATGATGTTGGCCATCAGACTGGAGGGCATCTACTATCAGAAAAATGTACTGGGGGGAAACCTCTGGATTGAAGCAAAAGCTGGTTTTGTTATTTTATCTTTTAATGGGCTATTATAATCTGTTATTGTATTTTACAACTATAAAGTACAAAATATATATAATAAAGAATAGGAGAGGACATTGAATAGGAGAAAGATAGAAAGATGTCCGACTACATTCCCGGCACAATATATCACAGCAGCTGTTCTAGTTTGTACAGTGACAAAGCACCAAGCAGATAATCTATATTCCAGTAATAGCCACACAGCTGGGCTATTAATGTTTATTTTGGGGCTGGACTTCTGCTTTATATACACCCAGAAATATTGGGGGTCTAAACAGACTCCTGATATTTCTCTTTAAAATAGAAAAAGGGTGATAGATATGTTCTGTTTTACAGAACTATTATATATTGTTTGTATAGCTTCTAGTGATCCCCTCCTACTACTGGACTATGCTAATGTGGAAGAATCTGAAATGCAATTGTATGCTATACTGATCATGTGCTATTTTATGGTTTTATTCTACTTTGGAAAATGTATAAAATACTTTGAAAGTAAAATAGAAAAAGAGATGGAGGACACAGAGTCTTCTATCTCTTTTTCTGCAGCCCCCGTTATAAATTAACAGGAAGCCTCTTCATTCAGAACTTGTGGATATAATATGTTTACCATCTTCACAATCATGAATGAACAGGAAGTGATGTAGATCACTCCCATTCATTCATAATTGAGAACACAGTAAACATACTGTGTCCTTAATTATTTACAGGTCACATCTTTTGCCCTGAGGAAGGGACCCTGCGTGGCCCCGAAACGTTGGCTATTTGACTATTGTGACACGTATGTCCAATAAAAAGGACTTATCTATTTGAAATTATTTTGAGTGCTGGTAACCTATTTTTTCTACTTAATTATTTACAAACACTCAGCGATCACTGAGTGTTTGTACCCGCTCCCCATGCTGACACGCTGTCACAGGAGGCTGGGTGGTACTGTGCGAGAGGAGAGCTCAGTCTCCTGTGACAGCAATGGCTGTCTCCACCCACACTGCCACTCTCCTGATAACAAATGATGTACTTACTGTACTAATTTTCTCCTCTTTTAGAATAATAAGTGTGTATATATAATAAAAAAATGTTTTAAGCATAAAATGAACCATAAAAAAGGAAGGGTAAAAGGAAAGACATACAGACTGAAAACCTCTGAAAAATGTCCTCTACACAGTACCTGACCATTGTGTTTCCAGGAGTGGATCAGGAGATGATAGAAATATTTTAACATGGTTATGTTCTCCGGAAAACACCCAAGACCTGAAATAAATAACTTCTAGAATCTACTGCCAGGATTTATGGGACTTGACTAAACTTTCTCCTCTTTGTCCACTTACAGAAATGAAACAATGGGAAAAGAACCCAGAGCGGATGTTAAATATTTAAAATAGATGCAGTCACAGAAATACATTTGTAAACATCTGAAAGAGACCTATTTTAATCTCACATTGTTTATTTTTACTACAATCTGAAGTGATGGTGAATTGCTATTGTAATAATACAGCAGAATATATTGTTTGTTACAATCTTAAATAACTCCACAAATGTTTAAACTCTGTATTTATTCCAATATTCTTCAATATGAATGAAAAATCTGTTTTGTAGCGTCTATTTTAAAGAATCTGCCATTTTTATATTAGCTGTCACTCCCTGCCAGGGGAGGACTGAGGATCTGTGACCTGGATGGCAAACACAAACAACTCGCCCTGTCATGGTAGGGACAGATTTGTGTGGGCTGAATAAACTGTACCATGCAAAGTCAGCCTAAACGAATTGTATATTGAGGAAGAAGGGAACTACTACTGGCTGCCCAGGGACTCTAAACAGGACACTGGAAGTGATTAGAGCTGAGCACATCTAGGTCCATTTCACTGCAAGAAGAGATCTGTAAATAGGGATTTCAGAGTCTCTTGATACATCTACTGAAGTAACAATCAGTTCAGAATACATCTGTGGATTCAAAATAAACCTCCGTATGACTACAATGTTCCATGTATGTCTTTGGCTGTCTAATAGAGGGACAGCTATGAATAACCTAGAGTGATAATGAACTACTGATCGCTCAGTGCACGGTCTTCTCCCTGCAGAGAACTGTCAGTCACCACTCCCCGGAGGAATCTTCCCTCTCTTTCTCTCCATTACTCCAGAGCTCATTGGAAGGACAGAGAGGAGCACTGATCTCTACCTGCCTCTTCAGAATGAAAAGAACAGCCTAGATGAACACAGGTAAATGGCACGGCACTATTGGTGAGAGTAGCATTTTCAGGCATGCTTCCATTCCCACATAACGTTTTTAAACTTTAAACTGGGTAAGACTAAAACACAATTTAAGTGAAACATTACATGACCGGATTTTCTTTTTCGCTTAGTGTTTTCCTTCCCCATTTTTCTTCTGAATTCCAGGCAGATGACACATAAGAGACACATGAGATAAAAATAAACATATGGGAACTGTTTTACCTGCCAAAGAATTTGTATTTCTGTCCATCCGATCCGGAGATTTTCACAGGTTTGCCACACTGCACAGCTCTGTCTGGCAGAGCAGAAGACCTGGTTTTTCTCTGCTGCAATTAGGTAACACTTACAGTTTGTGTCCCTTACCCAGCCTGTGACTGGATAATGGAGAAGCAGAAGAATGTATTTCTCGGTTACTCTGCTCTCTCTTCCTATCAACATGTCCTTTGTAGCACATTGAGCACTGCAGCACAACTAATTGGCTCCCAGTGCTGCTTCTCTTTCTCAGACCTGCTGTACAGAGGACTGGAGGAATCTGATTCCAAGTCAAAGTCACATACAAAAAAAAAAATACAATACAATAATTGATTATGTTTTTTTTTTTTAAATACAGAGCTGTATTAATTTCTCTTTTATATTGTCCGGAGTTAAGCATTAACTTATATCATTTCCCTTCTCTTCATTCAGTCTGTTTAGAATTTATTTTATTCTTATGGAATGCAATCCAGCTAGGCCTCATCGTTCTGCAAATGCCCTTTTCACTTTCCTGTTATCGTCTTTATTCCTGTATATCCTGCCTTGCATATTGCTTTCATTGTCTTGCACTGTTATTCAAAAAATTGTATGAATATTTTGAAACTAAAATTATACTGTAGAACACATATGTTTATAATCCAGCCAACACTCAAATTTTACATGCAAATACGCCCAGTGTGTTAGGAACTCTATATAGTCTCTTACCGCGTAATTAAGCAGCAGTCATGAACCGTACTTTCTTCAACAAATATCCCACGCTCCTCGTCACTTTCAATCAGTCGTCCATCATGAAGCCAGTAAATATCATTTGTGCTTTTCATATAGGTAGCAGTACAATGAAAGGGGAGGCGATCGCCATGGAAAACAATCTGCTTCTGTGACGGAATTATCTGAAACAAGGGCAATGCCAATGGTCCATCTGTTTCAAAAAGAATGCAAGTGGCATGAGTATATTTAATTTAAATTTGTGGTTTTTTGTCTGCAGTTTTTACCCACGTTTGTACCAGAGTTAGTTTTTTTTCATTTTTCACAGACATGTTGAAATCGAAATTTGTGAATAGAAACAAATCCCAGACAATTATATAGTTTCTAAAAGCAGAGGCCATGTAGCATTAAAAACAAAAAAAACACAGTAGTTGCATTTTTATGTTGCACAATAGTTGTGCAAATGTTTATCGAATCAACATTTTAGGGAACAAAAAAAATACACAAAGAAATTTTAGTGCAAACAAACATAATATAATACCCAATTTTTTTGGAAAATATAAAAGATGGGGGTCATGTTGAGTAAATAGTGTGTGGTGCAATAGTGATGTGTGGTGCAATCGCATGTGCATGCTCTAATTGTGTTTGCATTTGCTTAACTTTTTTTTCTATCATTCTTTATTGAACACTTTTTTTTCCATTTTTGTCACCTAACTTCATTGCCATCACAAAAGACCTACCAAGCCCTTATGTGATAGAGGCAAGTACAAGTGATTAGGTGGCTCTTCAGCTGCCCAGATCACTCATACACGAAAGCCTTCTGCCTGCTGGAAAAAAACAAACAAACACACTAAGACCTATACACCAAGACCAAATACACAAAATACCACTTCAAGAATTTTTTTTCTGTGAAAGTCAGCAGCTAAGCTCCTCCTCTGCATCTCTAACCACTCCCACTGGCCAAATGACTGCCATAGGAAGGCCAGGGATGTATTTGGCATGCAGGCTGTAACTGGCAGCCTGGTTTTACCTTTTCTATGCTATGTAAAATACATGATGGCAATTTGCAATTGAAGAGTAACTGGAACTCACTAGAGCCGAGTGTTCATTCACTAGATATGCACTGGTGAGTTACATATAAACTGAATTGTTCAAATTTGGCAGAGGTTTCTGTAAACACTGCAATGTGAAACAGCTGACATTATTATTATAAATTTTTGCTGAATAATTTTGGATTGAATTACAACAATGTTCACATATTTCGTGCTGCACAGGTACTATTATGTAGCCTTGATATGGATGTATCTGCGATGTATCCCTGTGTCTGCCTGCTGGGCAATGAAACTAACAAAATCATATTGCAGATCACACTTTGGAATTTGTAGACACTGATGTAATGTTCATTTTTTCAGGATTGTATTACATGTTTTTCAGTCTTTCGTGTGGGAAAGACTAGTTGATTTTGTTACTTGCCTCACCTTATGAACTTTCAGAGCGTGCCCCATTTTTGTTATTTAGCTAAACCCAACATAAATTTTATGAAACCATTTTTCAGAGTAGGCCATTTAATCCATAAAGGATGATGTCATAAACAAATTATAAGAACTGTACATATAGACTGTTCCAAAACATCTGCATTTCATTCTGATGTTTTATATGTGATTTGTGACATTAATCCAAACCCATCCTCATGTGATAATCTCCACAGCTCCCAGGGATAGCAGCATGCTGTTTTGAGACTAAAATTCATGTCCACCTAATGGCAGATAGAATTTTCCATAAACAGAACTGTTAAGAGTTGACTTTTCGCTGTGTGTCCCTCGGTGTTGTGCATGCTCAGGGAGAGGAATTCGCCTGAGATTTTGAAGATGCAGGAATATCAGATTATAATTGAGATGCTCATCACTGTCGTCATCATTTTTAATCTGCTTCCCCTAGTGGGGTTTTGCATGGTTGATTGCTGCTGGTCTGTAGTTATCCAGCGACAGTACAGAACATAAAAACTTAATGCGCATAATTATTTTTATATCTTCTCCATGAGACATTTGAATACATGAGTGGGTCCAGATCACCACTGAGCATCACACTGCTGTGTCCTCATTTTTCTATAATAGTAATCAAATAGAAAAGTAATACTATTCATACAAATTTCCTTTCAAAACGCCCATCAAATGTAGGAAAGCAACAGACATCTGTACAATGTTCCTACAGCCTTGTTATATTGGTAAAGTTTGTACCTTGGTAGGATGATATAATGGGAGCATTCACCAAATGCTGCAGAGCTAGGGCTTATATACAGTATACACTTACCTATAGTTACATAGTAGGTGAGGTTGAATAAAGACACATGTCCATCCAATACTGTACACTGGTCAGCAATATTATTAAGACTACTGAGAGGTAAAGTGAATAACATTGATTATCTCGTTAAATTGGCACCTGGAAGTGGGTGGGATGTATTAGGCAGCAAGTGAACATTTGGGGGGTTATTCACTATTCAGTTGAAGCATCGGATATTCCTTTGGCTCAATTTGGCCGCTGGAGCCCTCTGGTTCAGCCGAACGGAGGGCTGCTGTATGGGCTATTCATAATAGCCCGTACAGCAGCCAAACGTCTCAGCCGAGCCAAACGCACAGCCAAAGTGGAAAGAAAGGTCTGCCGAAGCAGACTGTTCTTCCCGCAAATGCAACAAAGAAGGAAGCGCCACCCATGAGGTCATGGCTGGCTCCGCCCATTTGTTGTCATTCAATGACAGCCCAGCGTCCTCAGGTCATTTGGGTGCACTGGGCAGTCACTGAATGACAATAAATGGGCGGAACCAGCCATAATGTCACAGCTCGATCCGCCCAGTTGTTTTAATTGGCTGGGACTTGCAGGAAGACTGACAAGTGGCGGACGAATGTAAACAGTTGGGCGGAGCTAGCAGTGATGTCACCACTAGCTGTGCCCAAATGTTTATATTTTGCCAGCATCTGTCAGAATGTAATTTTGCGGCAGGAGTGCGGACGGGACAACGCTGGCCGTCGTGATTGACCTTAGGATTAAGTTGTTGAATACATTTTTTGGATTTTTTTAAATAAAGGAATTGTCAAAAAAGATGTTTACAAAAGTGTGGGCTCTCTATTTAAATTTTTATTGTACCCTTTAGTGAGCGAGTAGGGGTACAAGTACCCCTTTACTCATTCACAAGGGGAGGGCACATCTGGGTGCCCTCTTTATTAAAGGGGGTAACCCGATGCAAATAAGCCCCTCAGCCTGCAGACCCCCACAACCAACGGGTCAGAGTTGTAGCGGAAGAGGCCCTTGACCACATCGGCACGGGAACAAGGTGCTTTTCCAGGGGGGACCCTCCCAGTGCCAGGAGCATGTGGCCTGGTATGGTGCATGGGGGCGGAGTTCACTCATCCCCCCCCCCTTTGCTGCCCTGCCAGGCCTGTGCGCGGATCAAGGGTCTGTTTGGCAATTTTAGGGGGACCCCCATTTTTGGAGGTGAGGTTCCTCCTTAATATTCCTACCAGATCTAAAATGGCCTGGCATTTTTTTTTTTTTTTTTTAACATGGGGGTTCCTCTTAATGTCCTTACCAGATCTAAATGGTCTGGATCGGGAGGTGGACCCCACGCCATTTAAAATTTGTTTTTTTATTTACCTCGGAGGTAGCGAGCATAATAAGCGAGCCGAATGCCGTTCGGCCCCTATGAGAATAGGGACGACCAGCAGTGAGTGAACTGTCAGAGGTTCGTCTCAGTGTATCCAAATGTTGGATCAGATGAGTCGAACGTGTTCTTCACTTCGGCTCAGTTGAACATTCTGAGCATGTTTGGCTGAACCAAAGCCAGCCAATGTACAGCTGATTTTAGCCGATGTACGGCTGAAATCAGCTGTACAGGGCCGAAGTAATAGTCGAACGGTGTTCTGCTCACTTCACTTGGGCTCAATTATTCACTCGGCTGCCTTAATGAAAAAAGGGCTGGACAGAAGCCCTATTCGCATGTAAACAATTGCATGAGCAGCGGACGCAAGGTATGGGCTACAATCTGGCAATGCACACTAAACTAGCCTACCCAATAACTAAACAGCTGGAACCGGGTTGATATCAGCTACCTGTCACAATCCTTTGTTGTTGACAAGACCTAAAGGATTTGCTACTGAGGGCTCGGTGCCAGATACCATATAACTTCAGAGGTTTAGTGAAGTGAATGCCTCGACAGGGCATCAGGGCTGTCTTTGCAGCATAAGCTCATTAGCTGATCAGTGTATGTATAACTCAAACGCCTCAAAATAATTGTGAAATTCTAATTTAATGTGCTGCTGCTTTGGTTATATGAACATTTTGGATACACCTAATAGACTATGAAAGATTGCTCTTTAGAGATGCTAATATTTCACTTGCCAAACATCTGGTTTACTACATCAGTTACTGCGGACAGTCTGGTCTGCTTAACTACAATCCGGGAAAATATAAATAACCCAAATTGGATCCTGTAACCCAAAATATATAAAAACCAAGTTTGAATAATGAATTTTGTTTTATACAGGTAAGTGTATTCGTTTTTGAAGGCTCTATTAAATTGTTATATTTTCGAACAGCCAGCCAGGCTATGAAGAGGTGGGCCAAAGAAACCCCATAAAAATATTGTTAAAATATAGTAACCATAGTTTTCTATTTCTTTGATATGAGATTTGCACCCTTATGTCTTCTAATACATACAACATGCACATATCAATACTTTCCATACCAGTGATAGCAATGCTTATAAGATAAGGGCACTTTTCAATAAAGTACACTATACCACCCCCTCCTTAGTCCTCCTAAATACAGTTGTCGCATGGATTTGAGACCCTAGATGTTGGCATGCTCCATTGTCACAGTGGCAGCCTTTGCATTTGTGTACCACTCTTCTCTCTCCACCACTGGTTTGGTCTTTGCAGTCTTTCGCAGCTGCTATACAGTTGTATGGAACCATTTCCCAAGCAAGATTTGGGACATGACCCCCTATTAACTCTTTGGCCATTTACAAAACACAGCTTGTAGTGATGCTGCAGTTGTGTATTTTGTGAATATTGGAGACATGACAACTGCACTGGTGTCTACTATATATACATTGCTGATGTTGGGGTGTGTGTGAGGGAGTATAGCTGGAGCTGTGCTATCTAGAAAAACTGAAGGTAATCTTTTTAAGCGGTTTTAGGAAAGCAAACAATTTACTATATTACAAGGCAGAGTTAAAACCCTACAGAAGCACTGTAAATCTATCAAGGGGATGTTTTCTGGAGTTGGGCTTTAAAGCTGAACTTCATACTTTCCTTTAGTCTTGCACAGTTGTACAGGCTCCTCAACTGTACTGAAATTACTTATTTTAACTTCACTGCACATTGGGAGCTTTTCACAGTGTGCATCAGAAGCTGCAGCAAGTCAGACAGAGCCTGCCTCATTTCGCAGTAAGTCAGACAGAGCCTGCCTTATTTCCTGCCCGGGAGAGGTCTAGCATTATCTAGTTATTTTCTGGTCAGCCTAACTGTTCCTAGCCTATCCCTTTTATTTATTGGATTTCATTTTTTTTTTCAATTACAAAAGCTTAGCATTACATTTGGGCATTACCCAGCCAGGGCAGTCTGCATGCAAATGCCCATTCCTCCAAACTAACATCCACCGATCAGGGCCTTTTAAAAAATGTTTTTACATAACTCCTCCTAAGATCCAGCCCACTGCTTGCATCAAGGCCAAGAGCTCTTGAGAGAAGTACCGAGACGTGTTGCTTTTCAAGATGCTTTATACAGAGACCTAAAACAGCAATTAGTATCACCAGCACTCATGGGATGAAAAAAAATCAAAATTCTCATTTTATTGAAGAAACATGTCACTTGTGTTGAATAGTCAACGTTTCAGAACCACGCAGGGATCCTTCATCAGGGCAAACATAGTGACCGTCACTATGTCTGCCCTGATGAATGAACCCTGCGTGGTTCCGAAACATTGGCTATTCAACACAAGTGACATGTTTCTTCAATACATTTTGGATTTATTTCATCGCATGAGTACTGGTGATCCTCATTGCTGTTCATTCGATATACGCTCGGCGCCATCTATGGACATCATTACACGCACCACCATTACTTCTGGGTCTCTATTACTGTATGGTGTGCAGGGGATTGCATAAAGGAGCAAAGAGATCCAATGACGATGACGATCTGCAGCCAATGTTGGAATGAGTCCATGTAGACAGGAAGTGCCTGAAAAAGGCTCAGAGATCAGCAGCACTGGGATGCATAAAGGGTGAAAACCTTTTATGAAAATGGGTAATGGTTTATGATACACCATGCTTTAGCAAACTGAATGTCATAAAGGTAATATACTTTTAAGCGGAATCCCAAGAAAAAAATAAAAAATTATCCTTGTAGTGGGTCCCCCCATACTTTGAAAGCGTTATCTGCTCATTTTGCCTAGGGGGAAGATGAATGAGGTGTTATATTGCATACTGCTTTAGGTTCCGTTATAAGTCCAGTTCCCTGAAGCTGCTTCTCTTTGTTGCTAATCTAGTTGCAGCTCTCAGACATCATCCTGTACAATGCAGCACAAGCAGTCCTGCATTGTGCATTAGGTCACAGAGTGTCCCCAACATAGGACAGCAGACGACGAAGTACAGCACCAGAGGAGCAATAATGCAATATATCACCTTATTCATCATCCTCTAGACAAACCAAAGTAATTAACCCTTGTAGTACAGAGGGGAGTCCACTTAAAGAGCAAGATTTTTCATTTTCCAGAGTTCAGCTTAAAGAGGAACTTTATATTAGTAATTACATTCTACAAACAGATACTTCTGGATCATTGCCGGCTTTTTATCCTTTGCAAACCTTCATTTTCTTTTTTTTCCCCCCAGTCTTCTGGCAGTGGCCGTTTTAACTTAGGGCAGGTTGCTAGATCTCCCTTTACTTCCTGGAACTCTGGCACAAGTGACCATGCACATCATCTTAGGGGAGGAAAATGCCTTTCCCTGAGATCTCATAAGATTACAGATGTGATTTCCCAGCAATGTTCTGCTGATGTAACCTTCTCGGGATGCAACTAATGAATGTAAGATGATTTCATATCGGCATGCAGAGCTGTATGCTGATGTGATTTTTAGTCAAAGGGGGTAAAAGTCCACTTTAAGGGGAAGATGAATACGGTGCTATATTGCATACTGCTTTAGGTTCCCTGGTAAGTCCAGTTCCCTGAAGCTGCTTATGGAAAGGGGGGAAAGGTCCAGCAGCTGCCTAAAGGTGCCCATACACTGTGCGATTATCGTACGAGAATCGTGGGAAAGCACGCGATCGTACGATAATCGCAAAGTGTATGGAAGGCATGCAACCGTTTCTACTGTACGATCGCACGTCTTCCGTCGAACAAGCAGGCTGGAAAACCCGCCGAGAATCGTACGATTCTCGGCGGGTTAGTGGTGTGCTTGTTCGACAACTGCCAAACAGGTTGGTGTGCGCACACTGCCCGTTCAGCATTGCAGTCATCGGAAGCCCGCCCCTCAGCGGGGCAGGCTTGCGATGATCGCAAGTACGATCTGCCTGTCCAAGATGGGCAGATCGTATGTTTTTTAAATTACTTTACAACTGAAAAAGTTGTACAGTGTATGGCCACCTTTAGAAAGAATCCGCTGGGGTGTGCTGTGTTGAGAACGGTGCCAATGCTCTGACAACAGTACATCTCACTGTAACCTTTTTTTCCCCCCAAACTTTATTAAAGTATCATAAAGTGATCTTGTATTCAGTTCTATTCATCACTGTGTATTGCTATATGGTGTACTGCATTACAATACTGTGCAGTGCAAAAAAAAAAGTACTGCATGCAGAACCTTTCTTCAGCACACTCCACCACAATATAGGTTTCATTTTAAAATAAAAATCTCATGCATTCAGTATTTCTCTTCCGAAGTTTATATGACTTTCATTTGGAATATCTATGCACAGCTATAATCAGGTTAACATACAGTATGGGTGTCACATGTCAACACAACCAGCAAAAATTTAAGTAAAGTCTAAAGCCTAAAGAACAAAAGTTTTGAACAGGGAAGAACTGTGAAAAATGAGAAAGGAATTGTATTTAGTACAGCTAAGAAGAGGATGAACACCTCACAAATTTAATTAATGTGAACTTGTCTGCAATAGGAGCTGTGTCCTGAAGTAACCTCACACAAAATGAATGCTTTAGAAATAAACCAGTTGTGAAGATATAACTTTTTCTTTGGACCACACACAGCGTCATTATGTATTACATAACCAGCAGAGGACAGTATTAAAGCAGGATTCTTGAACTGCACTTGGGAAATATAAAATGTAGCATTTGTTCTTTGAAGAGTTCTTGCACAGGAAGTGATATTTTCCAGCCAGGTGTCATTTCTGGCCTTAAACAATTCCTCTTAAATATACAGGGATTCATTACCATTAATTAAAATCTATAACCTCCTGCCAGGTTTTCTCTCCTGACACATTGTAGTCTTCAAGAAGCAGTATAAACTCGTAGGTAACAAAGGGACCAACTGGTGAACACATTTTTAACACTCTTTCTGGTTCTGTTTTCAAACCATCTGCTACTGTATCAAGTGAAGATAAATACATACTTTGTTTTTCTATTTAACGCCTAATATTGCATAATATATTTTCTCTCTGCCAAAAAGCATTGCAAACTTGGTCGTCTCTGCCAAGAAGGTGAGCATTTTCTCTCATCCAATGCAACTGATGCCTAAGGACATGGTTATCCACTTCATGGCCTTAAATTCCTACTAGAAAAATCCTCAGCCATTTCCAAGAGGGGCAAGGCTTTCCACCAATGGTGGGGTGGTGTCTTTTTTTTGCCTTTCAGCCAGTGCTGCCTGAGTTCAGTCCTTTTTTAACCCATTTATTATATTTTTAGGACAAGAATTAGGTAATGACCTGTATAGTTTAAAAAATGTTATACTCCCGTAAACGTGGATAAACAAGCTATAAATTTGCTTACCACATGTTAACTGGTTCTCTTGCAAGGTATAAAATTCGAGCCCCCGAACACTACTCGGATGTTCACACACAGTCTCCTCGCTAATACGAACTGATGAGGATGCGGCCCATTTCAAGATCCATTTAACATTGCAATCACAGATGAGGGATTCACTACTGAAGAATCTGGACAGATGACATACAAAACATTGAACTCCAGGTAAATAGTAAAATGTTAATTTATTGAATAGATAATATTATTCCTATTTTTTAACACCTCCCGTTATTTACCCAAACCCAGATTTTAATATTTTTTTTTTTTACTTACCTGGTCCCCGGAGCACAAAAATCATCTTGTTGGCCCCTGTAACACCACCAAGGGCTGATGAGTTCTTAGCAAAGGAAATGCAAGTTGGGATCCACAAAGGCACCCTTTCTAACATCTTGGTGATGCAGGGTGCTCTGCAGAGCATCACTAACTCTTCAGCATAGGCAATGATGAGATGTGGGTTCAGGACATAGGTGTGAAGTGAAGCCAGCTTTCGTGCTTCACAGACCCAGTAGAACTAATGCACAGTTTTGCCACTACTTCTTGGCCTTTTAATTTGCCATATTTGCAATCTGCTTAGCTGAGACGAAGAAAGCATAGTAAGTGCTGCTGATAAAGTTCATAGGAACAGATTAGGTTCAGGACTTGTAGGCACTGGTCTCCTAAAGAAGAAGTAGTAAAATGTCCTACTGATACTATAAACATAACTCAACTTCCCTAGTTAGTAAATGGAGCTTGTATATACCCGGCTTGGATACTAAACTTTGGGAGGAAGTCTTGGATGTGCCTATTAAACAGTTTATTGCGGTCCGGGACAAACTGGTTCAATTAAAATTGCTACATCAAGCTTATTTTACACCTTCCTGGCTTCACAAGCTTAATCAGCAAATCTCTTCCGCTTGTTGGCGCTGTGGCCAACTTGAAGGCAATTTTTTACAATTTGTTCTGGACTTTTCCAAAATTATCTCCTATTGGAGTTCTATAGTAGCCTATGTTTCCTCAGTCACCTCTATAAATGTTGCAGCTTCCCCTATGGTGTGCCTTTTAGTTTTAGTGGAAGACCTGGCACCCACGAGGGCTTAACGGACTCTACTGGATCTCCTTTTCTTCCATGCTCCAAAAGCTATTGCTATGAGCTGGAAGAAATCAGATGCTCCATTTCTTAATGTGTGGTCTATGTGGTTGGACCAACCTTCCATGGTCACTGAAGCTCTCCCATGAATGTTGTGTTTGTTATAACATCAAGCCAGGAGCAGATAGGCATGTTTCTTGTGTTAATTTCTCATTTGGGGATTTTTAACTGATACTTTGCTTAGACAGGTCTCTTGACCTGTTCTTCAGTTTTTGGGCGCCATTCTATCTAAACAAAAGGACACGCCAGTCAACCCCTTTTACCTTCCCTTTCCACCTCCTGTTCCGTTGTAATTTTTCTGTTTTGTTGTTGTTTTGCTATGCCACACCTTAGCTTATTTTTTGTTTATTTAAAAACAATAAAAAAAATCTAGCAAAATGCATTGAAAGCTGCGTGTGTGTTTTTACAGGGCATATTTTTCAATTGTTGCTGGTTGCATTTAAAAAAAAAATGTTTCAATGTTGACAACATTGGAATATGTCTGGGCAATGTGCATCAGCACAGAAGCTTATAGTTTACTTTGAAAGAAAATGTGAAAACTAGTGGATGAAATAAAATTAAAAGTTAGTGGTTGGATTTTAATTATTATTATACAGGTTTTATATAGCACCAACAGTTTGTGCAGCGCTTTACAATATAAATCTACCAATATATGCTTGAGTTCTTTAGATTCCAGTTCTGGGGTATTTTCTTCTGTGCCCTGCCTGTGTTGCACAGATCTGTACACCCAAAAATCTAATATAGGACCAATATCTGTATGCAACAACTGACTGATACATAGCTCTTAACTGTGAACGCCTTAGCTACTTTTTTATATTATTATTTATTGGGGTATTTTCCCTATTTTTTTTTTGCATTGTTTGAAAGAAAAAAGAAATGCGTGCAAGACCAGTGTGCACCTGAGGACCCTTTCACATTATATATGGTGACTGACATTTTTTCAGTAACTGAACAACACCAGTGACCACTAGGGCACATAGAAAACAATTGCTCTTTATGTGCCCTGTTCACACCACAACACAGTTGTGATCTGTAGTGTACTGCAAAACAAAATGAAGACATTCTTTTAAATTCTTTTGCAGTGCACTGGATCACAATGCAGGTCACCGAACCACAGCACAGCAAAGCATCCTGCTGTGCAGGGACCTGAATGGAGTGTACAGTTTACATACCCTAAAGTTAAACAGAAAGAAAAAAAAATGTAAATAGTGGCACTTCCAGCAGTTTGCAGTACAACACTAAGTGCTGGAACCTGTCATAACACACTAGCCTGTGTGCCAAGATGCTCCATTTTATTGGACACGCCAGTGTGAAAGGGCTCTAAACTACCTCTTTCTTACATTGACTGCCTTATATTGCAAAGAAACCCTTTTTTTTTTTTTTTTACTTTTGTATAGGGACAAGGCCTAGAACTTGCTAGGGTAACCCAGTATGCATTGTGGTCTCTGCCAGTTTTTGCCTAACCAGGGCAACCTTACAACAACAAAAAATTATAATAAAAAAAAGTTTAGAAATTATAAACAAATGTAAATCTGTAAATACTGTTTAAAAAAAAAAAAAACTACATCCACGTACAGACCCTCTGCATCACTCTGTATGGCTACGTTACAGTTTTACCAACATATGCCTGTTGGGTGCAGGCATTAAGGTTGGTTTTTGCCTTCATCGTTAAGAGGTCAAAGGGCTAATTATCGTTTTTAAAAATAATCATATTGCAAGAAAGAACATGCAACTTCAATGTTTTCAGAAAAAAAAACACCAAGTATACTACTTACATTGTAAAGATTCTATCCAGCTTTGTTGCAGATTCCTACCTTTCCCTGTTGTGAATAAAATGCTGTTTGTTTCACCAAGTCCCTTTTTACATTAATTCCTGAAAAGGAGGCTCTGCCTTAATTATGATCACCTGGGCCATTGTTCTAAAGAGAAAAACTGCAGTGCCTGCAGCCCTTTAGATGTAGATAAGCCAGTCACCCTATTCACATGCATTACTGTGCACTAAGGCACACAATACATTTTTAATGGGCTGGTGGTGCACAGAAAACCAGACCACAACGTACATCTGATTGATGGCGCATTGGGGTGCCATCAGTGGCGTAACCAGAGTTATGGGTGCCGCTATGCAGACGTGCCCACCACCTAACCCTCCCCCAGTGAAAGTACATCTCTCCTGGTCTCCTCACCCCCCAGTGACAGTACATCCCTCCCTGGCCAGCTCACCCCCAGTGACAGTACATCCCTCCCTGGTCTCCTCACCCCCCAATGACAAGCCTGCCATCACTCAGCATGTGGCAAACTGTGCTTGCTGCGTTGCACTGAGAACCAGTTTAAGTCCTGCAGGTGAAATTTTTTTTCATTAGTACATGATGAGCTGATCATGTGACCTGGACTGAATTTGACTTTGTAACAGTCTCTTGCAGTCTCCTGTACAGCAGAACTCAGAAGAGGAGGAAGAAAGAGCACAAGCAGCCAATTAGGGCTAGTTCACACCAACTTCAGTGGGTTCCAGACCGATTCTGGCCGGAACACACTGGATCACATTCTGGCCGACTCACTTTGTTTTGGGGCGGGAGGGAGCATGCAATAGTGAATAGCCCGTACAGCAGAGAGAAGCTAGTGAGAAGCTAGTGAGAAGCTAGTGAGAAGCTAGTGAATAGCCCGTATAGCAGAGAGAAGCTAGAGAGAAGCTAGTGAGAAGCTAGTGAGAAGCTAGTGAGAAGCTAGTGAATAGCCTGTACAGCAGCCCTTCGGTTTGACTGACCAACAGAAGCTAGCTTTGTGAACAGACCCCTTAAATTTGCCTGAATAGTGCATAGATGATTACAATGTGCAGCAAAACACAAGGGGCCTATTTAGTAAGCAGTGGTATGCCCTCACCGTAGCCATATTGTTTAAAGACCCCCAAAAAAGCAAACCCCATTTAATTTTAATGATAAAAAAAGTGGCAGGAGGAGGAGGTCCCAATCACATGACTTGAGGCACCAGCATAAAACTTGCAACTTCCCTGTTTTGCTGTCATACCGAATAACTCACTAAATGCTTTGTGTCCCCTAGATAAATATCAGAGTAATTTATCTTTATGATATACCTATTTTGGCATCCTAGCTTGGTTCTTGACCAATTTTTACAGAGGAGTTTACCAAATCCATCAATTTGTTTCCAATCAATGTAAAATGGAACCTAGCATGGTTATAATGGTTGTTAAATGCAACTGTTTTGACTGTTTTGACTTTTTTTCCAGTTTCCTTAATCCAGTCTACATAAATCAGCCCCATAATGTTTTCATTGGCTTATATAAGGTCCTGTATGCTAATAACTTTTCATAGGTCTCTTTCATTTGTAGGTGTATACCAGTTAATATACAGTACTCACATGACTTTTAGTGACAAAAGTGCGTAGAAAAGTCCAGGTTCCAGTGTTGAAAAAATATTTCCCGATAAATTACTGCAAGTAAAGAAAAGCAAACTCTGGAATTACACATAATTAATATGTAATATAGCTTCACACGATTGGATACATTAACAGACTGTGTTTAAACTTTTGTTCTCATCTGCTTTCAATTGCAGTGGGGTTAAGTGCTTATTTTTGCCAAAAAAAAAAGTTATACTCACCAGAATCTTGGAGCCAGCCAGAGGTCACATCGCTCCCTCCAACTCTCTCCTCCTCTGCTGCAGCGATAGTATGTCCTTCAGGATCCTCACATCTCAGTGTATTGGACATGATGACTCAAGGATCCTTAGACCACTGGATCAGAGGGGGAGGGAGGCTGGAAAGATAGGTCTAACAGTCATCCAGCTCTGAGAATCAGGTGAGTATAACTTTTTTTATTTTAGTCCACAGACAAAAATAAGCAGTTAACCCTTGCAGTGCGAGGGCAGCCCCACTGCAAGGGTTAATAACAATTTTCCATAAGCCTCTCTTTTCCATAAGCCCAATTCCCACTATGTGTGGTGGTGAACTTCCTCATCGCTCCTCAGATCACACATAACTTGGAACGGTCTGTGTTTGCTGCAACAAAAATACAAGGCCCTTCTTCCATCTTTCAATTTAAGTTAAACAAATTAAATAAATAATCTGATTGGTTGCTGTAGACACAGTCAGGCAATTCTTCCGGAGACACTTCCAACTATATATCACTATATGAAGAATCATGCTAAAGAGCCCAGGTACCTCTTGCATTAACCAATCAACTTTCCTTCTTAATCGATTTTTATTTAATTAAGTTATTAGACATACAAATACACACATTACACTTAGCCACATTTGAATCTGTATCCAGACATCCTTCAGGGGTCTATATGCAGCTTAGAACATTTCCTCCAGCTTATCTTACTTTCATTAATTAATGATCTGAAAGTTCTTTTAGTACATAGATGCTGGACAGAAAGTCTTCTATTGATATAGATATGGAGGAGATCATAACAAATGTTTGCTTCAGACATAGGCGGATCCCTAGGCCAGATATTCCTCTCAGACTGTTCTGATTTTTGATCTTAGTGATGGGGGATAAATTGGCAAGAATAGGTGGATAGATATGTTCTGTTGTACAGAACTATTATATATTGTGTGTATGGCCTCTAGTGATCCCCTCCTACTACTTGATTATGCTAATGTGGAAGAAACTGTAATGCAATTGTATGCTATACTGATTGTGCATCATGTGCTATTTTATTGTTTTATTGTACTTTGGAAAATTAATAAAATACTCTGAAAGATAATTAATGATCTGTACTTACTACTCTCAGGCTAGACATAATATTCTCCGGGCCTACCTGCTCTGTCCTTACTATCAATCATCACCTTTCATTAGTTACTCTTACTAACTACTTAGGTCCTATGTTTATTAACTTTCCCGAATTTCTATCATTGCATGAATGCTTCTACACTCCACTAAATAAACTTACAGATCTACTCGCTCAATCTGACAAGAGACATTAAAAGAGAGACATTAAAAACACAAAAACATACTATTAAACCAAAAAAAAAAGGGGGCGGGGATGGAGGGGAAAAGTTATATAATCCTTTCAGGGAAGATGGTGGGTGCCTACATTGGACTGGTATGGTCATTACCCTCCATTCTATATTCCTTACTTTCCTTGCTTTTATCTAGATGGACGCATATTATTAATTCTAGGTCCCTCAAAAATTTCTATCCATGGACTCCAGGTTATCCTTTAATATTGAGTATCTAAAGTATCTACCCTCCCATGTAGCCAGAATGTTCTCCATTTGCATAAGGTATCCTACTTCACATAGCCAGTCCTCAACCCGGGGTATCATGGCTGTTTCCCAAGAAACCCCAGAAGGCTCGGGATCATTGACAGTAATGTCATTTCAGGACTCTCTGGGTGACTTTTACCCACAACTGCGCTACTTATCTGCCAATAGCATAGCATGCCAATAAGAATGCAGTATCTGACACTCCCACCACATGTGAAGCATTGTTCCCTCCCCTTCTCCACAGGTAGAATATTTGGCCACTGTTGCCGTGCATCTACAGTATACCACATAGATCTTGTAGTTACGTTCTTGTGTCTGGCTATCAATGCTAGTTTTAAATGTTAAATTTAAGGCATTGTCCCAATGTTCATCACTCAACTTTCATATTTAATATATATGTGTTAAAGTAAGGGGGAAAAAAAGGAAGAATCTGATGGAATGAGGTGGAATAGAAACACATTCCATTTAAACCCTGATCGCATAATTTAGAAAATGTGTCAATGTTTTCCGCAGCAGTCAGAGTTCAGCTGTTATTCCTGGGCTGCTGAAAGAAATCAGATTTAAACACAAACTTAACTCTCAAGAAGAACATGAACAATAACAGATTTAATGCTAACTTTTAATCTTATTTATTTTTCCAACCCTGTGAAGCATGAAAAATAGCAGCAACATGCGTCGCAAAGCCTGATCTCACTCAATAGTTGTTATTTTAGAGGTATTTTGTTTTTCTCAATACTGCTGCCATATTGCGCAGCTTCGGGGCATTAACACACAGGGTGGATGTTACTACCCATAAAAGATACAACTATAGACGTTCCCTTGGCCTCAAAATGCCACAATCTGGAGTCAAACAAACACTGAGAAGTAAAAAATAAATATTTCTGTTCTTAGTGAAATATTTGAAGGGATAGTATAACAATTTATTGATTTATGTATAATTAATTCAAATAGAATTCAAGTAAAACTCCATCATCTCTTTTTTTATAATTATTATTACTGAGATTTCGTTTTGAGCCATTGAGGCAAATCTAGACATGTGGAACAATAAATTCTTTGGTATTATTTGGAAATAAATATATATATATATATATATATACACATACATACACACACACACACATGTATGTATATATATATATATATATATATATATATAT